TCCCACTGTGGGTGTTGGGTGTGTTATGGTGGTTTTTTTTTTTTTTTTTTTTTTTTTTTTTTTTTTTTTTTTATAAAAAAAAAAATAAAAAAAAAAAAAAAAAAAAAAAAAAAAAACACTAAAAGATCAACTTTTAACCAATTTCCCAAATCATCACCGTGAATATGTTAATCTTGCGACATGTTAATCTTGCGACGTGACTTTTTCCGAATCCATGGAGTATAATATCATTCCTTGCTGCAGTCGTGCTTCTCATGTTCGCCGTCATGCAAACTTATTATGTTGTCCGTTCTTATTATCATTGAGTTCTCCTTTTATTGATGCAAAATTGTTGGCAAAGATTTGGGAACGGATAATAAGAACGGACAGCATAATAAAGGAGGACAGACTCACAACTCACCTACTCAGGCGATACCTGGACTTGTTGCAACCAAACCCACCCATGCATAGTGTCGATTGAGGCGACTCAAACATAGCCCAAGACGACTTCTGGGTCTCGTACCCAAAACCAAAGTCGGGTTTCCAGAAATCATCGAGGAGCGTCGAGTGACCCATTTTCCGAGTCAACCCAGCTATGTAATCGTCCTCATCACTCTTTGTCTCGGTGGAGCTCATCACAGACTCCACCGGCGAACTCAGATCCGAGTAAGGCCCAAAGGAGCCGAACCATTTCCCACTCGGCCCTCACGGACAAGACAGGACAAGAGTGTCTCACTAGGTATCTCTCAATCACAGCCGTCCATCAGCGAAGTCGCATCCACCGGCGAGCGAGGAGCGATGGCTCACCATCAGCCGTACGATCCATACTACCTCCACCAAGCACCGGAGTACGGGTTCAACAACGATCGCAACGGCATCAACACCCTCTTCGTTTCGGGCCTCCCCGACAATGTCAAAGCCCGCGAGATCCACAACCTCTTTCGCCGCCGTTCCGGCTTCGATTCTTGCCAGCTCAAGTACACTGGTCGCGGCAGCCAGGTTGTTGCTTTTGCCACCTTTGTTAATCATCAATCAGCAATGGCAGCTCTGCATTCCTTGAATGGTGTAAAATTCTACACGCAGACTGGATCTGTTCTTCATATTGAAATGGCCAGATCAAACTCAAGGAGGAAACGTAAACCAGGAAGTGGAGCCACAATCTCTCTCTCTCTCTCTCCATGGACCCAACATCATCATCATGTACCCCATTCTCTCTCTCTCTCATTTTTTTTCACTTTCCAACCCACCAGCACACATGCTTTCCCCATTAATATATTATTATTATTATTATTAAACAAAAAAAAAAATACCAAACACCATGGCAGATTTTAACAAAACCGTGGGCCAAGAAACCCACGTGAATCCTTTTTCCCTCACTCTCTCGTTTTGCTTTCAAATATATTAATATTATTTCTTTCTTTATTTATTTTTCTTTCACCTTAGTTTTAATCTTTTTTTTCATTATTATTTATGCTTCCTATTGTGTCATTCTTGCCATACGATTTGCAAAAAAAAAAAAAAAAAAAAAAAAAAAAACAAACAAACAAACAAACAAACAAACAAAAAAACAACAAAGACCACCATCACAACAACAAAAGATTTGAAATCTTTTCTACAGACAGCCACCTACCGACCTCACTTCTTCACCTCTTCCGCCGGTCTTTTCTTCTTGCCTCCGTCCTGGGCGTCCCTTGACGATGCTGCCTCTGTGTTTCCCGTGCCGCCGAGCCCGTTCACTCCCCCTTGCTCCTCCACCGCAGCATATGGCGGACCTCCGAATCGGAACATAATGGTGGCCTTCCGCTTCAGCTCCTTGTTTTCTGCCTTTAGTACACATATTTCTGCTCGCGCATCCTTATACATACGCTGGAGCAGAGCCAGTTGGGCGTTTAACTGTTGCACCTCATTTGTCCTACTCTGAAGCCAGTGCGACAAGTTTGTGACCGCAGTCATGGTCTCCACGCATGACTTCAATGTATACTGATTGGCCTCAATATCTGATTGCGCTGCCATTATTTGCTCCACAGACCGTATAGGAAAGGTCAATGGCACAAACTCAGGGGCGCTTGGTTGAGGTTCAAGGGCAACCGCACCAGTTATCTCTCTTGTGGACTCGTTGAGATCTGGAAAGAGAGTAAGCAGACCACGGGAAGACGAGGCCATGTTATGGGTTGCTGAGTGTTTCAGATGTTACAGATGTTTCAGATGTTACAGAGAACGAAGAGGTTTCAACTGGTTTGTTATGCTTCCAAGCCTCAGGCTTCGCTTTGGTTTATAAAGACCATGACGACGAGGACGACACGCGCTCTTTCGATCACGTGCATCGCTGCGTGTCTGGTGCGACTTTTGATGGCTCGCCGCTCGATGATTTCTGTCGGGCACGACTTTTGATACAGTGGGCACGCCTTTTGAGGGCGCGACTTTTGAGGGCTCAATATATATATCCATGTATATCTTTTGGGCAGCCTATATACACACTCATACAGTGTCATCTACAACGGTCCGGCATGACCCCATAAACTGTCCCGACATTGATTCCGGTTAGTTTTTACAATGGTCCGGCATGACCCCATAAACTGTCCCGAAATTGATTCCGGTTAGCTTTTACAACGGTCCGGCATGACCCCGTAAACTGTCCCGACATTGATTCCGGTTAGCTTCTACAACGGTTCGACACGACCATACAGTGTCTTCACCAACGGTCTGACACGACCATACAGTGTTTCCTATCCTATTTTATTTTATTTGTCAGTTTATTTTCACGTTTTGTTACTCTCTTCAAACTCAAGTTGGTTAGTTCCTATCCTCCTTGAGTTTGAGGGGGGCTGTTAAACTGTAAACTTCACCTACTTTCCACCTACTCCTCACCTACTCCATCTACTACACACGTACTACACACTCACCTATTCTCTTCTCACATCCTCTCCTATATATAGGAATCATTGTAAGCATATATAATCACAATCAATAATAATATCAATAGATACATTTATTCTCTCTGTATTTCTCTCTTTATACATTGAATTTTACATCTTGGTCTTGGTAAGTTGTGTTGGAAGTTATCAATAATTTAATAAGAGTGAATATATGAAAAAGTCTGTCAATTCAGACTTACCCATTCAAAAATTTTTGGATGAATAATTGTGTGAGAGAGATGAAAGGGTTCGTGTCTGTACGGGGAGCAAATATTCCGGCAAGCCCATACTCTTTTCTTCCAAGCTCCGTTTATGTCCGATCACCTGCGCGCAAATAATGGTGAGCTACCCGGCGGTGTGTGGCCGGAAAAACCCTCCGACGATCAAGTTAGCACACACCTTAGGATAGAGAGAAAGAGGGAGAGAGGAGTTTAAGCGTAAGAAATTCCTTACAAAGTGTTCATCTGTCGCGTATGGGGGGCGCAGACATGCTTATATACCCTCTGTGCCCCATATCTACTCCCAGTCGTCTCCTGACACGTGGCTCCGCTATCCCATCTGCCAGCATAAACCTTGCTGAACATCACCTAATCTCAACTACCTGCCATCACAGCTGGAGCTCGGCAACCGAACTGCTCTATCCGTCGCTGTGCCATGCCGTGCTTCATACCCAAGCACTTCACTAGCTAAGACCAAGGAGGACCGGGCTAGGCGGCATCTCGGCAAAGCCTAGCCCGAGGCACCTCCTGTGGTCAGCCTTTCTGCCGGTCAAATAGTTACCTCGGCTGATCACGCCTTTCCGGGCGCCGGTCACTCAGCTTGTCTGGCTTCGGCCATCCCCTGATCGAGCAGCTCGGTCCGGCCGAGCACTGCCTTGCCGAGAAGCTTCTTTACGGTCTGGGGCGACACACACTCGGTCCAAGTTCTGCCCGGCCCAAGTTCTGGCAGCCCATCTCTGGGCGGATAGTCGATCGTCTCGGCCCCATGCACCGTTGGGCTCTCAACCTGCCCGGCCTTTACCTCGGCCCAACTCCAGATCATAAATCACCCTCTCAATTGCCCCTTAATTCCGCCCGCGAAAGCGTGGCTGGGATTACTCACTTCGACCGAGATAACATTTCTCCGGTCTTCAAGATGCCAAACCTCGACCGGGCTAGTTAACATAACTGTCTGCAAACTTGCCCGGTTATACTCCTCGGCTGACATCCTTTACTTCGAAAGTAGCTCGGTTGGCTCTTCGACTCTTCAGCCCGTCGCTTCAGTCCTGACGTCGCCATAAATGGGGAAACGTGGCAGGCCGCCATTGGTCATCGAGCAACCAACCTGCCGTTTTTGCCAGAATTTGAATTTGGGCGGCCTCTCGTTCCTATATATACAAGACCCCCCTTATACAATTTCTTCCTACTGCTTCTTTTCCATCTGACGCTTCAGAGCTCAAGCCATTTCCTCTCAGCCTCGACTGTCATTCTTCGTGATTAGAAGAACAGCTCCTGCCCTTCACAGGTAAGACCCTCGATCCCTCTTGAGTTGCTATTTTCTTTCATATTACACACATTAAGGTACAAAAACGTAGCTCTTAGGGCATAGGCCATAGAAACCGTCCCAAACCTCCCATTGTTCTTGGTGTTCTTCATCTTCCTGAAGAACACTGAAGAACTGGGGCGAACCGGGCTCCTGGTCTTCTTTTGATCCAAAAAACCAATCTGACCGAGCAAATAACATGTTTGTCTCAACCCCAGCAAAAACCGAGATAACAAAAGGACTTGGTCGCTCAACCGGGCTAACATCTGGTCTGCTTGGGCGACCGGGCTCCTTAGTTAGAATAGATAACCGAGGTGGTTTGGCACTCTTAATGACCGAGCTAAAGTCCAGCTCCTTTTGCGCGACCGCGCTCACACTTACACTTGCCATCCTTTTCCTGCAGAGTCCAAGGGGACCACTGTCATTCCTGAGGCTCTCAGGACCGAGCAGCAACCAATTACACAGTGCCAAACCCCTCAGCCGGGATACTAAGTCGGCCACAAATGGAGAAATTCCGCTTCCTAGTGGATACTCCGGCCGCGCTAGCTGCTTTCAGGGAGGAGTACGGCGTCCCGGCCGATGTCCACCTGGAGCTCGCAGAAGAAGAGACCACGCCTTGGGGTAGAACAGAACAATGCCCCTTCACCGTGCTGTCGGTCGTCGAAGGAGGACTCCGCTTCCCTCTGAACCCACTCATCACCGAGTTCCTACGCCGAACCGGGCTAGCACCCACCCAAGTGTCTACCAACACTTACCGGATAATAAACGGCGTGCACGAGCTAAACAACC